GAGCTGCCCCTGCCCCGCCCCGGCGGGAGCCCTGCCCTGCCCTGCCCTGCCCTGCCCTGCCCTGCCCGCGGTCCTGACGTCCGAGCAGCGGGCCAAGGGCTGTGACGCTGGGGGTGGCTCCGGACAACGGCCGCGCCGCCAGGATTGCAGTGAAGCCTCCTCGGGGGCGGGGCGGCACGGGGCCGCATCCTGGCCACCACGAGGGCCGGTGCAGCCTGTGCCCGGGGGCTGGCCGGCGCGCCACACTCCTCCTCCAGCAGTAAGAGGGGCGAAGGCTGGAGCTGGGCTCGCCCGGGCTGCGCTCTGTGCCGCAGGGGAGCAGTGGGCGGCAGACCAGGGCTCCCTCACTCCTGACACTAGCACAGCCCTTGCCCTCACCTCTCCCCGAGGCACGCGCTTTGTTCCTGGAGCCACCTCCAGGCTGCGGGCAACACTCTCCACCCAAGGTTTAAGAGCAGTCCTCCTCCTCCTCCTCCTCTCCTGCCTTCCTCATTTGCTACACGTCCATCCCGTCATGTCACCCGCCCCCCATTTCGTTGTGATATTATTCTCATTATCCAGTTTTTGCTTTTGCATGACATACTAACATGGGCGATTCTGTACCATATTCCAGCCGGAGCCCGGGGGCCTGCTCCCCTCCCCTCCCGCGGGCCCCTGGGCTCCCCTGCTCCCCTCTGGCCCTTCCTCGGGGGGCAGCGGGGGCCGATTAACCATCCGAATGCATCTGTGTGGGGGCAGAACACTAAAACCGGACTTGTACATACGTGAAGTGTCTGTAAAACGTGCAGTATGGACCCAGGGGCCCTCCCCGGCGAGGGCAGTAAAAGAGATTCTATGAAACTCGCCGCGTGTGGTCTGTTCCCACTTCCTCGCTGCTGCCCGGGCTCGCCAGGCTGGGGGCGCGACGGTCCCGCCACGTCCTTGTCCTGCTGCCACGAAGCAGGGCGACTCCTGTGACCACGGCGTGGCGTGGCGTGGCTTAGCCGGGTGGGCAACAGGGCTCCTGCGTCAAAGACGAGCCGGAGGCAGTGCTGGGAAACGGGCAACGTCTCGCAGGCTCGGATGCACCCGCGCTTCGGTCCGTGTCGGGGGCTTGGGCACTGGGCCTGCTTGGTTGTCTCCCCTGCGTCGCGGGGGTCAAGGGCTGCGGTGCCCCTAGGCCGGAGGCTTGTCCGCGTGTGCGAGCGGCGGCGTGGAGCCTGGCGATTCTGCACTAGGAGGCTGGGGCCGGCGTGCAGGAGCAGGGAGGCCAGCCTGGCATGCGGCAGCTGGGCGCATTGCCGCTGTACGGCTGTCTCTAAGGCCTGCTCCTTTCCTCTGCGGCCGCAGTGCTGGTCTGTGCCCCTTGGCACGGGGCGATGCAGACAGGACCTCTTGCTCTTCCCGGCGGTGGGCCTTGCGGAGGGGAGCGGTGTCTGAAGGAGGAAATGCAAGGCTGAGCTGAGGGGCGTTCGAGGCAGCCGGGACAGAGGTGCTGCTGGATGAAATCCAGCGCAGAAGCAGAGACGGGAGCGTCGGGGTCGCTGCACGCAGCACGGCGAGACCGCGTCGAGCAGTCGGGGGCCCATGTGCCACGAGTGTGCATGCACGCAGGACAGGCACAGGGAAGGGTCATGGGCTGGGGGAGCTGGAGGGGCCGGAGGAGCCGGGCTGGTTCCCGTCTGTTGTTCCAAGTGCCCGAGGGGGGGTGAAGGTCAGGCTGGAGCAAGCCCCACGGTGCATGTGGAGCGGGAACGGGAACGGGCCCCGGGCAGCGCGAGGCCGGAAGCGAGTCCTGGCGGTCCCCAGGGATTGGGGTCGATCCTTTCCTGTGGATCTGAGGGCAGCTCGTGTAGCCGAGGCTGGCTTGAGGGTCCGGCCGTGTCCTGTGCCTGCACGAGGCCCTTTACCCGCAGCACAGCTCTGCCCTCAGCCCCCTCCCCGAGGCAGGTCCTGCGTGACAGGCGCATGGGAGCAGGCTCTCCGTGGTGCGACACGGGCCCCGTGAGCAGCAGAGACGTGTCCGAGACCGGCTGCCCCATCCCAGCCTGCTGACCCTGCCGCTGCTGTGCCGGATGCAGCATCCCAGGCGCGGGGCTGCAGGAGTCCTGCGCGGCTCGGGTGCAAGCAGAGCCCCCGCGGGGACCAGCACTGCCCTGGCACGGACCAGGGAGGGACGGCACCAATTTGGGGTCAAACGGCACGAATGGGCTGCGTGGGGCAGCGGTGCCAGCTCCCTTGCGGGTGAAGGATGGCCCCAAGCCGAGCCCCAGGCTTCCCAGAGTGCAGCCGTGGACAGTGGGGGCCCAAATGCCTCGGCCCCGCAACGCGGCCAGCCCAGACCCCGACCCCGACCCCGACCCCGACCCCCTCCAAGTTGGGTTAACTCCCCCAAGCTCCCTGGAGCCAGCGCGGTTCCCCACCTCGAAGCGCTCCTCTCCCTGCCCCGGGGTGCAGGACCCCTGAGCTGGGGACGCCTCGATGCCCCAGGTCGGGCTTCACAGCCAGGGTCGCCACCGCCCCTGTGGGGCCGAAATGTCCCGTCCCTGGAGACGCCCCCAGCCCTATGGGGCCACGTGCCCCCTCCCTGCAGAGAAGCCCCCGGCTGAGCCCCTCTCCTTGCCCCCCACGTGTGTCCCCACCGGGCCCGTTCGCAGGGACCCCGTGCCCCGTCCCGTCCCCTCACGTGGACGCAGGTCCTCTCCGGGCAAAGCGCTTCGCCCCAGGCAGGACCCTGGTGCAGTCCTGGGGGCGAGGGGCAGCGCCCCCCAGCCCCACCGTCCCTGCCACCGAGATGCCCCCGGGGCCACGGTCCGTCCCCCGAGCGAGGAGCAGGCAGGACTGAGCCCCGCGCCCCACTCCCCTCCGCCCTTGCTGTCGCAGCCCCTGACGGCTGCCATCCCTTCCCCTCCCTCCAAGGCTTTTCCCCCCCAGAGACACCCCTCAGCCCCACACATCCTGCCCCGGCCCTCGCGCAGGGGTCCCTGAGGGCCGGGACCCCATCCCCGCGGGCTCAGCACCCTCCTGGGACTCCCCGCAGGGCTGCCTTGCCCCCGGGACCCCTCCTAGCTGAGCACCCCCATGCCCAGGCCCCCAGCACCAAGTGTGCCTCCCACACCTGCCCCTTCAGGGGCAAAGCCCCACGGCGCTAGTGCCTGCCCCACCGGTTGGGCAGACACACGTGGGGCCAAACCCTGCCTCTCCTCCCCTCGGGCCAGCCTGTCCCCACTGAAAGCCCCTAAAGACGAGCTCCCCACATCCCAGGTCGTGCCAGGGCCCAGTGCCCCAGTACACACGTGTGCACGCACATGCACATGTGTGTGCGCTTCCCTGTGGGGAACGGGTGCTTGGCCTCACGGAGGGCAGCTCCGTTCTGGGTCCCTGGGTCGTCCCAGAGACCCCGTAGGGATCAGCTCTGCCCCGAGGGCTCTCAGGACCGGCTCTGCACCCCCAGGGTCCAATTCTGGCTCTGGGCTGTGACTGCCCGTGGGGCCCAGCTCCCTCGGCGGGGGGGAAGGGGGCTCCAGGCCATGGCGAGGCTTGGGGCTGTGCATCGCCCGGCGGCAGGTGTGAAAGCTCAGGGCAGAGCAGGTGCCGTGACGAGGCGTCAGAGCGGTGGGTTGCAGCCGGTTGCAGGATCCGGCCCCGGCAGCCGGGCAGAGCAGGGCTGGGAGCCCTTTCCCCGTCCCCGCTCCCCCACGTGGTGCCTGTTTCCCAGGCATTGGCTTTCCCAGGCCGTGCCCCGGTTCCCAGCAGCCTGCACCAGGGAGGGGAAGCAGCTGCCAGCCAAGGGCTCCCCCAGCACCAGTGACCCCAGTGACCCGGCTCGGAGCCAGAGAGCAAACAGCTGGTGCTGGCTCCCCTCCCACCACTGTCCTGGGGTCAGCTAGCTTGGTGCATTGGCTTAATTGCAGGGACAGCGCTAACGAGCAGAGGGACTGTCAGCTGGGGTCTGGGTGAGCCCGGTTTGCACCCACTGGTGTGCAATGGCTGGGCAGCTCTGCAGTACCAGGCCCACACGGCAGCTGGGAGGGGCGAGGAGCTTTCTATGAAACCCCAGACTCGGACCTCAGCCTTTTTAATCAACCATCCTCGTTTCAAACCCAGCCGGCGTCTCTGGGCATGCCCAGGAAAGCCTGCGGTGGCGCCAGGCATGGCTGCATGGGGCTGCCCAGATTGCTGCAGCCATGAACAAGGCGTGGCAGGCCACAGGTGGGCTGCGTTTGCACCTGAGGGGGGAATCCCAGGCAGTGTGGGAAGGGCAAGGGGCTGGGTCTGCGTAGACCCAGGGGGCTGAGGAGGGTTCGCTGCAGCCCCAGGGCTGGGAGCAGGCGAGGAGGGGAAGCTGCAGCCCCCTCAAGGGCCGTGCAGAGGCCAGGACGGCTGGGGTGGAGGGTGCCGGGGTGGGGAGCTCCTGGCCAGACTGGGTCCCCGGGGGAAGAAGCAGCGGGCACGGGAGAGGGAGAGGGGAGTCACGGGGCGCCGACACCCTGTGGGGAGAAGAGGAGGAGGCTGGGAGAGGAGCAGAGCCCGGGGCAGGGGGAGAGGGAGGGCTGGGTGCTGCCGCCCTCTGCCCCAGTGCAGCTCACCCCCACGCTCTGCATCAAACCCCGGCGTACGTGGCCCTGGCGCTGCCCGGTCTGTACCCGTGCGACCGGGCAGGATGGCTGCAACAGGCCTCGCCCCAGCGCAGGATCTCTTGTGACCAGCGGTCTCTGCTCCCCAGACAAAGGGGCTTGCTCCCCATGCCATATCCAGGGGTGCAGCCTGCTTCATGCCAGAGCGGCTACCTCCGAGGGCGCCTCCCGCCGGCGCTCGGCCTGCCGGGCCAACACCAGCCCTGCGCAGGAGCAGGTAGGCCGAGCACCCAGCCAGGAGGGGGTCAGCGAGACCGCGCGTGGGCTGAGGTCATTGCAATGGCACGCACAGCACCACTGCTAACGGGGTCACAGCCAGCAGGACTTTATTGCATTCCCCTTTTCCTCCTCGACGCTCCATGTCGGAGCCCAGCCCCAAGTCCGTGCTCCCCGGCGCTTGCAGAGAAGCTAGGAGGTGGAGATGAAGCTGGGAGCTGTCGGGGCTGGCAAACAGCACTTGAAGTGGCTGTGCAGAAAGCAACGCCGAGCTCTCCATGTTGTTGCTGTCACGTCCTGTTTGCACAGGCAGGGAGCGGGGCAGGCCGGCTCCGAGAAACCAGCTGGCTCCCGGAGAAACAGGCCCAGCCGCAGCCACGGGGACGTGTTCCCAGTCCCGATGCTTCCGGGCAGGCTTGCAAAACGCGCCCCTTTGATCTGCTGGCGGAGACGGTTTCTCACGCTCTGAAATGCGCGGGCGTCCCTGGCCTGTCTAGAGCCGAGGGAGGGCTGCAGCCCGCGGCCCCTGCGACGTCCGCAGCACAAGCTGCTCCCAAGCCAGCGCCGGATTCCAGTCCCTGCGCGAATGCCAAGGGCTGGCGGCTGCCTCGATGCCTGGCGAAGCACGTGCGCAGCTGGCGCCTGCGGCAGCGCAGGGCTGGGGCTCGGTGGCCGAGTCCCCAGGTGGGGAGGGCCCGCCGGGCCCAGCCCCTGCATGGCGCAGGGCTCGCTGCCCCGAAGCCGACGCAGACGGATGTCTGTCCAGGAGGGCCTCCGAGGAAGAGGATCCCGCTGCTTTCCTGGAGGCGTCCCGTTTCCTGCTGTTAAGAATTAAGACGTGATCCAAATCCGCTTTACTGCGGCGGCTCCCCGCCCTGCTCTCTGGGGCAGGGGACAACTTGCCTCTCCTCGCTTCCTTGCGGCAGCGTCCCACACGCTTGGAAGCTGCTCTCGTGTCCCCCTTGACCTCCTTCCCATCAGACTGAAGGCACCGAGCCGCTTCGGCCTGTCCGCACCCGGCTCGCGCTCCACGTTGCAACCCGTAATCAGCTTCTGCGTCCTCTCTGGTTTCTCCACGTCCTTCTGAGCGTGCAGGCTCCACGCCGGACACGGCCTCTGCCGCACGCAGCATGGCAGTCCTGTCACCTCCCCTGTCTTGCACATGAACTTTTGGGTAACGCAGCCCAAAGTTGCATTTGATTTCGTGCTCGTCTGTCGCACACCTGCAGCCTCGCACAGCTGACTCCTGCTGAGTGTGTGACCTGCCGTGCTCTCTGCGTCCTTCCAGGCCAGCGATCCCCCATCCTGCACGCAGGCACGTGCTGCTGGGCTCCCTCTCCGTCCCTGGCTAGGCCATGTGGTTGTCTGTGTGGACTTGCCTCTCGCGGTCTGTGCCCCGTTCTCCAGCTGACCAAGAGCCCTTTGAATTTTAGCGCCATGCTCCGAAGTGCCGGCAGCCCTTCCCGCGGGGGCTGTCCGTCCGTCCGTCCGATCAGTGCACGGGTCTTCTCGACCCCTGCATCCAGTCCTCAATAAAATACTCCTCTAACGAGCGTGCCTGAGACCTCCCGACACCCATGCATTTAATGTTCACCAAGTCCTGGAGCCGCGAGGCAGCAGGGAGCTACGCGGGATCTGCCCCATCCAAACCAGCCCAGACAAACCCCGTCCAGCCTCTGAGCACCACGACACCGTCGCCCTGACGCAGCACAGACCATCGCACCTTCCTCTACCGCCGGGGAAGCGATCGCTCCCCGCTTGCTGCCGTGCAGCTGAGGACGCGTGCGCCTGCCGGTCGCTGTCTGTCAGCCCCACGTTCTCCCCGCGGCCGAACAGAGCGAGGGTCACTATGTCAAAAGCCTGGTTAAAGTCCAGGTACATTATGCCCAACACTGTCCTCAGCCCCCGAACCCGTTACCCCATCAAGGAGTTATCCGGTTGGCTTTGCAACCTTGTTAACGGCCTGCATTGATGGCTAATAATCACCTCTTCCTCCTCCAGATGTTTCTAGATTGACTTTCTCGGTTTCTCTAATAACTAGCTCTCAGGTATTAGAGTTGGGTTGGCTAGTTGATAGTTGTCCTGGTCCTCTCTTTTCTCCCACCCCTTGCCCCTTCTGAGGTTTGGGCAGGGTGCTGGCCGTTCTCCCGTCCTCGGGGACGTCGCGCCAGCCGTGGGCTTGCCAGTACGACTGCCCACGGCTCGGGGGGGGTCTTCAATCACTCCCTCTAGCACTGGGGTCAATCCTGCCACCTCTGCTGGCTTCAGTTCACTCAGGCCAGCCAGGAGTCCTCCGACGCGCTCTGTACTGCCCGCGAACGACCCGCGCGCCGTCCCCTGCTCGGTTTCCATGCGCTCTGCTGCGTGTCTGCTTGCAGCGTACCTCCTGCATAAAGCAAAACCAAAGGTGCTGCGAGCGGTCCTGCCTTCGCCTAAGGACTCGCCTCCTCCTGGAGCAGAAGATGCATCGTTCCCCCGGCGGTGTTTGCCCCGCCACGCGTGCGGGGCCTCTCCTCCTCTTAC